AGAAGACCTGAACAGACATTTTTCCAAAGAAGACATCCAAATGGCCAACAGACACATGAAAAAGTGCTCAACATTGCTCGGCATCAGGGAAATCCAAATCAAAACCTCAATGAGATATCACCCCACTCCAGTCAGAATGGCTAAAATTAACAAGTCAGGAAATGAGAGATGTTGGCGGGGATGTGGAGAAAGGGGAACCCTCCTACGCTGTTGGTGGGAATGCAAGCTGGTGCAGCCACTCTGGAAAATAGTGTGGAGGTTCCTGAAAAAGTTGAAAAAGAGAGGTACCATATGATCCTTCAATTGCACTACTGGGTATTTACCCCAAAGATACAAATGTAGGGATCCTAATAGGTACATCACCCCAATGTTTATAGCAGCAATGTCCACAAAAGCCAAACTATGGAAAGAGCCAAGATGTCCATCGACAGATGAATGGATAAAGAATTGTGCTATATATATATAGTGGAATATTATGCAGCCTTCAAAAGGAATGAAATGTTTCCATTTGCAACGATGTGGATGGACCTGGAGGGTATTATGCTGAGCGAAATAAGTCAATCAGAGCAAAACGTGTATCATTTGATCTCACTGATATGAGGAATTCTTAATCTCAGGAAACAAACTCAGGGTTGCTGGAGTGGTGGGGGTGGAGGGATGGGGTGGCTGGGTGATAGACATTGGGGAGGGTATGTGCTATGGTGAGTGCTGTGAATTGTGTAAGACTGTTGAATCACAGACCTGTACCTCTGAAACAAATAATACATTTTATGTTAAAAAAAAAAAAAGGAAGAAGATAGCAGGGAGGGAAAAATGAAGGGGTGGAATTGGATGGGGAGATGAACCATGAGAGACTATGGACTGTGAGAAACAAACTGAGGGTTGTAGAGGGGAGGGTGGTGGGGGGATGGGTTAGCCTGGTGATGGGTATTAAAGAGAGCATGTTCTGCATGGAGCACTGGGTATTATATGCAAAAATGAATCATGGAACACTACATCAAAAACTAATGTTTGATGTATGGTGATTAACATAACATAATAAAATAAATAATTACTGAGCAATCTTTTAACTGTAGTGATAGAAGTTTATACAAAGTTTAATGGTTGCACAGTCCTGAAAATAATGACAAAAAGTGTTTTTAGGGAAGACTTTGCCAGAGAGGTGACATTTGGGCTGGGCTTGGAAGGACAAGTGGGATTTTTCCAGATGTAGCAGAGACAAAATGATATCCTTTTTGGCTGAAGGAACAACAGGTGCAAAGGCATGGAGAGTGACATCTTTAGGAAGAGTTGGCTAAGTAAGAGTGGCAGGAACATGGTGTGGAACAGAAGTCAAGCAGTGGAAGAAGATAAAGATGGAAAGATATGGAAGGTGAACTAATGAAGGGTATTCCATATCCTGCCAAAGAGTTGCACTTCACCTTGTGTGCAGCTGGGATAATTAAAGGTTTTTATGTGGGATGTGCTTTAAGTTTACCCTGGCTAGAGTGTGAGGGAGGATGAGAGAGGTTTCCTAGAAGCAAGTATAAATTAAGAATCTATTATAGTGATCTACATTAGGAATGATGATAATGCATCCAAAACAATAGCAATGGGAATGCCCAGGAAAGAGCATTAAAGGGATAAAATAACCAGGACTTGCTAACAGATCAGAGGTCAAGAATGAGAGTAAAGAGAGCCATAGATAATTCTATAGTTTCTAGCATGGTCAGCTTATGAGATAGAAATGCTATGAATGAAATAACAAATAGGAGAAGTAGGTTGGGGTGAGGTAAGTTCACTTGGGACAAGTTGGGATGCTGGTGTCTGTAGGCAGGCAAGTAGGATGCCCTACTGTGATGGGAAATAGAGTCTGAAGTTCAGGAGAATCGTCCAAAATCAGGAGAGAGATTAGGGTAAAGTCATGGAATGGTATGATCATGCCTGCTCAGGGAGATGTGAATTTCTTGTCCTGGATTAATATGCAAATTGCTGTCAGAGTGATAAGTGATAGAACCTCAATTATAAAGAGGAAACCAAGAGATTAATGATACATGTTACACTAAGGTATAACCAAGTTAAAAATGGAAAATCAGAATTCAAAATTTCTAATTTTGACATCTGAACATTTTGAGAAGGAATGCTAAGAAAACAACTATAGCAACATGAATTTCATTTCCCAGTTCATGCTCTTCACCATGCCACTACTGCTTTGTTGCCTGAGGCTTTGGGAAAATTCTCACCTGCTCCAGGCCTTGGTTATCTCAATTGTAAAACAGGGCTGCTGAGAGGATTTAACAATTCCTACAAAGCACTTAGCATAATGCTTGGCACATAAAAAGGGTGCTGTAATTCTCTCTCTATATATATATGTATGTATGTATGTATGTATGTATGTATGTATGTATTCAGCAGTGGAGCAATTTTGCTAGAAAACAGAAGACAAAAACTGTCCAAGAAGGCTACCAGTAAAAGAACAAGTAAAGACAGTAACTGTAAAGACAAATGCTGTTAGATGGCCTCTTCTTGTTAATTCCTGAATACCCAGAATGGGGGTGCATATTTGGTCTGGCATTCCATCTACGACTATGATACCACAAAACATACCTGACTTGTTGCATTCATTTTATATGGCTATGTAATAAATTGTCAAAAACCTGGAGACTTAACATGATGCAAATGTATTATTTCACAATTTCACAGCCTTACTATATACTCTGCTTAAGGTCTCATTGGGCTGAAACCAAGGAGGTGGTTGGGGCTGCAGTTCTTAGCTCTCATAAGGCCTTCATCCAAGCTTACAGGTTGTTGGAAGCATTCATCTCTTTGTAGTTGTAGAACTGAGGTCTTAGTTTCCCTTGTAGCTATCACTCTCAACAGCTCCAGGTGGCCTGCACTTCCTAGCCACATGCCCCCATAGGCAGCTCACAGGGATGTTTGCTTTCTTCTGGTCCTGCAGGGACTTACCTTACATTGAATCCTCCTCTTGCTTCTAATCTCTAACTTCTCCTGTCTCTGACTTCTAGAACAAGATTTAATGGGCTCATGTGATTAGCCCATCCAGATAATGTCCCTATCTTAAGATCAACTGATCTCAAACCTTAATTACATCTACAAATTTCCTTCATAGCAGCACCTAAAAGTGTGTTTGAATAACTGGGAGAAAGTGCGCATACACCAGGGATCTAGACCATCTTAAAAATCTTGCCTACCACATTCCTGAAGCACATGCAAGTCAGTCACACGACTAGGCAGTGATTTTTAGCAGCATTGCTGCATTTAACATTTGCCCTTTGGGTTATTTCTCTATACTCTTTCTACAAATGAATGACAAGTTGCTGAATATCTCAAAGGCCAAGAGACACGCATTTAGAAGAGTGACATATATTCTCCCCATCTCTTAGGGTACTTCTGAATGATGTGTAATTGTAAGACTTTCACCTCTGACTCTGTGTCCCTAACACCTATATAATCAAGGCAAGGATTTATCTGTCATTGAAAAAAAAAAAAAGTGGCTTTTCAACTCAAAGTTGCTTACTATTCCTGACCAAGACTTGAGAAGTGTCGGTTTGATTAATGCAGTCCCAGCAATCAATCAATTGAGGCCAAGGGTGGTTTTGGGGGGTAGTTGAACATATGCTTGACCTGAACATATATTTAATTTAGGAGCAATTTATTTTGTTATCAAATCAGCTGGCTTCATTCAAGAGGCCCCTAATTCAGACACAGTCAGGCTGAGAAACCACTAATAAAAAGGAACAAGGAGCAAATGCTGAGGGTGGAGGTGAAGTACAAGTCATGGCTGAGATGCTTAACCTGTAAGCGTGGTCTCTGGAATTGGTCTCAGTCAGGTGAAACTCTGTAACTTTTTAGATTGATCTGCACTTGGAACACTCCAGTGCTGCCAGCAACAGCAGTCTCAGCAGCTGGCTTGGGAAGAGAGACCCCCTTACCTCTCCTTTCCAACACAAAGCAAGATCCTAAGGATCAATCTATATTTGGGTCCTTTCTTATGTTCAGACATTGGTTAGCTGGTCACAGGATTCCAGGCTAGTCAATGCAATACACAAAAGGAACAAGAGGGGCATCTGGGTGGCTCAGTGGGTTAAGCATCTGCTTTCAGCTCAGGTCATGATCCTGGGGTCCTGGAATTGAGCCCCACTTCAGGTTCCCTGCTCATTAAGGAGCCTGATTCTTTCTCTTCCCCCTCTCATTCTCATTCTTGCACTCTCATGAATGAATAAAATCTTAAAAAAAAAAAAAAAAAAAAGAGATGGTGCAATGATTTTTTTAAAGATCTTATTTAGAGAGAGAGAGAGAGAGAACGCGTATGAGTGCAAGCTGGGGGAGGAGTAAAGGGAGAGGGAGAGAATCTCGAGACACAGGGCTAGATCTCATGACCCTGAGATCATGACCTGAGCCAAAATCATGAGTCGTCACTTAACCGAGCCACTCAGGAGCCCCAGTGTAATACTTTCTTGATCAATGAGCTACTGAAGTTTATACCATGTAAAGGTTTAGTTAATAGATACCTTGGGCATCATGAACATTGTCCGTGTTCACATATGTTCACATTTTGGTTTGTGTTTCAAGGAAAACTGTAAGGTCATTTTAAATTACCTTTATTTGTACTTTTCCTCCTCTCCTTTGCCAGAAGTAATTATGAGCCTTTGTAAACTCATTTCCATGCCATAAAGAGATTCTACAACCCATGAATCATAATTAAACAGGTGTTCTTATATTACTGAGTAATAATCCACTGATTTTTGAGCCTGTTTATCCTACTCACCCCACTTCATCCCCAACAAAAGGGAAGACAATAGGGGCACTATGTGTACTTCATGCCTTGCAGGACTGAAGTGGTATATCCCTTTTGTCTCTGAAGATCAGACTCATCTCTAAAACAAATTAGATTTCTGACTTTGCACTGGCAGAAACCAAAGCAAATTTTCCAAAGTTAAAAAAAAAAAAAAAACAACTATTAGTTTCAAATTTAACAAACTTACTTTTTTTGGGGGGGAGTGTTATTCCCACTTAAATGCCCACAGACATAGTAAAGAATCATTTTACTCAAACCTAGTAAAACAGCTCCAAGTTGGGAAGAACCAAACATACCTTGGCAATACTCTAGTGAGCAGGCAAGTTTATTTGGAAAAAACTCTTATTTGCTTACACACTAGTACAAATTCTGAGATGTTAAAATTATATTAAAAGTTATTCTATTTATTCAGTAGGTCAATCCAAGACCAAAAGTTAGATTTATGTATTTTGGTTTAACCCCCCAAAAATGTTGGGAATACAGTCATTCAGCATTAGATCCAGGCACTTCTACATACTAGTAACAGCTCTGAAGGGACTTGCTCAACATCGTACACACTGTGATCGGCAGCTAACTTGACTATCTTTCTGCTATGAAAAACAGCAATGTATAACTTTATAGAGAAGCTAGGGTATATCAGAAATGAAAAAAAACTGGTAGGAAGCACAGGCTTCTCTTAGAAATGAACTGTCAAATTTTAAGTCATTATCTCAAAAGCATGTCAATGTCATAACAGAAACATTTCCAGTGGTTGTGGACAAAGAACCAAACGTTTTTGTTTTCAATGATAAATGTGAATTTCTCTCAATTTTTTTGGTACTTTTAATTATATGCTGATTTTTGTTTCATAAAGGTAATTCTTGCCTCTTTGGAATCATCCGAGTTCTGAAAGACTAGAAGGAGAACTAAACAAGTCCTAGATGCACCACTGACTTGCTGAATGACCCTGGACAAATCACCAGGATTATTTTTAAGTTTCACTTACCATCAATGAAATAGAGTAGCTTTGAAACTCTCATAAGGTGATATATTTGATAACGCCTTGGAAATTACAAGCAGTGCACAGATAAAAAGTTTTATGTACTTCTGCACATCGCATGATGCCAATCGACTGTTAATAGGTGTGGACCCAATACTAGGAAAAGTACAGAGAACTATTTAAAATAATAGTTTAGTTCATTTTCCAACTTGGTTTATCATTTCCTCTTTTTTTTTAACTTAAAAATTTTTAACTTTTTTTTTTTTTTTTTTAATTATTATACCAGATAAGACACAGAACTTTTTCTCTTCTCTGAGGGATTTATTGTTCCCTGTGGAGCCTGAGAAAGCGGCCACAACACTCATGGCCAAAGAATAACAACCCACATTTGTCTTTTCAGTCTTGTAGTATCCTCAGGACTGAAGTCTGTCAATGTCCATTTGTCTGTCCAGAACATCCATAAGTCCCATGCTTGTTCTGGTGTCCTGGGGACATGGACAGATGACGACAAATTCATAGGTAGTACTTTCAATCAACACGGAAGGCCTTTCCTTTGGGGTCTGAAAGGATGACTACACCCCAACAAGCAATGCCTAGAGAAAAAAACAAAAAAACAACAGCACCTTACATGGTTGTTAAACCTCAGTTTACTAGGTGCTTTCATATATGCCACCTTATTTAATCCTCACAACACTCCTAGAAGATACATCACCATTATATTCTCTTGTAAGAGTCAAACTCAGAAAAGGAAAAGAAAGTTCAGAGGAAAAGAAAAATCGGTTACCTACCCAAGCAAGAAAGGGACTTAAAGAGAACTGATTTGGGGAATCTAATTAAAAAGGTAAGAGATCTGAAAACCTAAAATTCTACCCATTCAATTGGCTTGAGAGTAAAAAGAATTACATTTTACTGTAAGATATCGTAACAATCAATTATTATCATAATAATAACCACATTATTATTATTGCTACAGTTAAGGACTGTGGGCTACTTTACCCATGGTACACCAAAATGTGGGCTTACAAGTCATATCTAAGATGTGACTTCAAAGCCCTAGTTCCTAATCAAGATTATGTACTCTCACTCAGACTTTCTCCAGGATCTGGAGGGGAAAAAATGGGGTCTGGTGCCACCTGGGTCACATCCTGATTATCTGACCTTGAACATAATACTTCTTAGTCTTTGTGCCTTAGTTCGGCGGTAAAAAAGGATTACTATAATCATACCTATATCTAAGCCATTGTTAGGATTAAAAAAATTGAAGCTAGTAAAGTTCTTAATTCTGTGATTTTTCTTTAATGAGGAAAGCGTTCCAACAACTTCCCCTCCCAGACCCTGCTTCTCATTTGGTGTACCTCCGCCACGTGACCAGCCCCGCAACCCGCCCACGTGGCTCCAGCCCACTTCTCCCTCTGCCCCTGCCCAAAGTCCCTGCGTTGCCCCGACTCTCACTGATGCCGATGACCATCTGTGTAATAGTCCCTGGACCAGGGGGGTATCCCAGCTTCATGGGCCTCCGCGCCACCCAGTACACGTACCCGCCCGCCCCTATCAGCCCCGCCCCTGAAAGCACGCGACAGCTCCAGCAGTTATTAAATAGAGGGCCTTCCGCTGGAGAGGTCGGCGCTCCAGGTGCAGGGAGGGGCAGGGACTCGGCGGAGTTGGTGGCCTCAGGAGGCGCAGGGACCTTGATCGGCTGCACAGGCTGGGACAGGAAAGAACCCATGTTCGGGAGCTCGGCTTCAGCTATGGGACTCTGGACGGAACTGACGTAAAAGTTACGGCCGGAAAGCAGAGCGCCGGCGCACTGCACCGGAAGCAGCTTGAGGTCGCTGGGAAATGTAGTTTGGGCCTGCCTCCAACGGGAAAAGATGGTGGCGCGCCTTCGGTTGTGGGTTTGTGTGGCAACAACCTTGGCCTTACCTGAGGCTATCTGTCCCTACACCCAGCCGCAATCACTTTCAGGATTATGACTTAGCCAACCTCCTAAATGTCTGAATTCTTAGTTTCTTTAGAGGAGGAGTCTGGGTTTCTAAGTTTCTTCCCTTGAGCGTGTCACTTCACCTGTCTGGAGGTGTGTAACTCAAAAGAGTTAAGTTTTATATGTGCTTAACTATATGCTAGACAATTTGCTAAGCGATTATCTGCATTATGCCATTTAGTCTTCCAACCCAATGAGGTATCATTTTCCTGAAAAATGATAAAACTGGTTAAGTGACATTGCCATAGTTGAAACCAATACCTGTGTCAATACAGTCAAATTTCTTATATGTCACCTGTACATATTGTCAATGCAAAATGAACAAACTTTTTTTTTTTTTTTTTTTTAATTTTAAAGAGAAAGGAAAAGAGTTTATTCCAGTCCAAGTTAGGATAGCTGCCTGGGGTACACCATATTCACAAAGAAGAGAGTGTTCTGGGGAAGAAACATTTGGTGCAAGGTTATATATGTTTTTGCATAAAGAATTACAAGTCATGATGAAGAACATTCCAGAACATCACAGACTTTATCTTAGTTTTTAATATATTGGAAGGCTGTATGACTTTAATTTTATGAGAACTGGGGAAGTTTCTTTATTTTTCCTGTGTTCAGGATTCTCATTTTTGGTTATTTTCTATTTTACTTATTGTTTATTTATTTAGTTAGTTATTTTTACGATTTTATTTATTTATTTGACAGAGAGCGAGCGAGCGAGTGAGAGAGCACAAGCAGGGGAAACAACAGAGTGAAAGGGAGAAGCAGGCTCCCTGCTGATGTAGGGCTCATTCCCAGGACCCTGGGATCATGACCTGAGCATAAGGGAGACAGTTAACCAACTGAGCCACCCAGGCGCCCTTTATCATTTATTTTTAAACAAAGAAAGCCAATGTGTGCTCCGATATAGAACCCATGCTTTAAGGTTTGCCAAGTCATTTTGACCTTGTTAAATGTTAAAGTATAGGTTCTCTAGGAGCTCAAGAGCAGGAAACATTCAAAGTTGAAACTTTCCTTTATCAATGCTGTGAGGGGACTACATAAATATAATCAAGGTATTAAAAATGGGTTTGAATTACCTGGATAAATACTTTTCATTTCTCTTTAGTTATTTCCTAACATCATGATCTCAATTTTGTCATACTCATGGTATTGTTCCTATTCTGAGAGCCCTGGAGATAATTCAACTCAGAATCAGGCTAATGAACTTGAAGAGTTAATATAGGATCTGTTCTTGTAGGTTTACATTCTTACCATCCCTTTGGAATAAATTTTTTATTTTGATTGCTTCTTTGTAATTCAACTGCTATAGCATCCATTCCCAACCCATTTCCCTTCCATTTCCTTTGGGTAGAGTTGCATGTGTATTTTTTTTTTTTTTCTGGTTGTTTTCAGGAGATTACTGGTAAGAAAAAGGTATTTAGAGTTCAGAGGTCATTTCTGCCAGAGAAGGTGGATGAAAACAGGATTAACTTCAGGTTTGAATTTCTCTCCTTTAGAATGGCTTAAAAAATTAACACGATAAAAAATAAATTCATTTTTCCATTTTCTAAAATGGGATGTGATTTTGGGAAGGATTGAAAAAAGATAAAAATAAAGGTATGGATAATAGGAGAAAAGAAAGTAATAGGAGAAAATGCAATCATGAGAACATAGGTTGCCTGCTGCTTAATTTCAAAGACCCTTTCCATTTCATTCTCTCTTTCACCCCCCATGTATTGTCCAGTAGAAAGAGAAAGGGTTGGGAAATTTGGGTTCTATAGCAGGCTCTGTCACCATGAGTCAGCCATATGATATAGAAAACATTATTTATTCTCTCTAGCCTGTTAGAGAAAGTTTGTAATAAGGAGTTTTGGTTACCTCATGTTTGTAATAGGAGATTTGGAATAGGTGAAATCTAACACTTTTTTCCTAACTTGAAAGTTCTATTATTTACTAAATATCTCTTTTCAGTTAGTGTTTTGCTAAGTTCCATACTAAATGAATTTAATAACATTTCACTTAGAAATTCACAATTTGTAGCTGATTTTCACTATGCCTGATTCAACATTCTATAGTGCATGTGATTTCTCCTTATTTACGTGAAAACAAGCAAACAAACAAAAAATATCATTTGACAGTGGTTACCAAACATTTTGATTACACACTTCTGTGGACAAAAAAGTTTGAGGGGTGCCTGGGTGGCTCAGTCATTAAGCGTCTGCCTTCGGCTCAGGTCATGATCCCGGGATCCTGGGATGGAGCCCCGCATCAGGCTCTCTGCTCCACAGGAAGCTTGCTTCTCCCTCTCCCACTCCCCCTGCTTGTGTTCCCTCTCTCGCTGTGGCTTTCTCTGTCAAATAAATAAATAAAAAAATCTTAAAAAAAAAAAGTTTGAGCACATGCACAAAAAAAAGGTTGAGCACACAATAACAGTTATGCATGCCTATTTATTATTTACAAATTTTATATTACTTTATAAATTATGAGGATAAGATAATATAATAGAAATATAAAGCTTAATATTTTCTCATATCTTGATCCATAGGCTTGTGCATCTCCATGGACACCATGATTATCTGATATGTGAAAGTCATCTTTTATCTAAAAGCTTACCTTCTTTATTGTGCATATTACATAAAGATGCCAGGAGAGGACATCATTAATTCTCTAAACAAGTATTATTAAAATGGCCCATGACACATTTCCAAACAACAGGCAAGATTTTAACTACTGTTTTTTTTTTTTTAATTTTTTTAATTCTTATGTTAATCCCCATACATTACATCATTAGTTTTAGATGTAGTGTTCCATGACTCATTGTTTGTGCGTAACGCCCATTGCTCCATGCAGAATGTGCCCTCCTCAATACCCATCACCAGGCTAACCCATCCTCCCACCCTCCCCTCTAGAACCCTCAGTTTGTTTTTCAGAGTCCATCGTCTCTCACGGTTCGTCTACCCCTCCGATTTCCCCTGCTTCATTCTTTCCCTCCTGCTACCTTCTTCTTCTTCTTTTTTTTTTCTTAACATATATTGCATTATTTGTTTCAGAGGTACATCTGTGATTCAAAAGTCTTGCACAATTCACAGCGCTTACCAGAGCACATACCCTCCCCAGTGTCTATCACCCAGTCACCCCATTCCTCCCACCCCACCCCCCACTCCAGCAACCCTCAGTTTGTTTCCTGTGATTAAGAATTCCTCATATCAGTGAGGTCATATGATACATGTCTTTCTCTGATTGACTTATTTCTCTCAACATAATACCCTCCAATTCCATCCACGTCACTGCAAATGGCAAGATCTCATTCCTTTTGATGGCTGCATAATATTCCATTGTATATATATACCACTTCTTCTTTATCCATTCATCTGTCGATGGACATCTTGGCTCTTTCCACAGTTTGGCTATTGTGGACATTGCTGCTATAAACATCAGGGTGCACGTACCCTTTTGGATCCCTACTTTTGTATCTTTGGGGTAAATACCCAGTAGTGCAATTGCTGGATCATATGGTAGCTCTATTTTCAACTTTTTGAGGAACCTCCATACAGTTTTCCAGAGTGGCTGCACCAGCTTGCATTCCCACCAACAGTGTAGGAGGGTTCCCCTTTCTCCGCATCCCCGCCAACATCTGTTCTTTCCTGACTTGTTAATTTTAGCCATTCTGACTGGTGTGAGGTGGTACTACTGTTTTTTTTTTAAAGTACCTTCCAAAAGATGTGTTTCTTTTCTTATGATTGCCTCAAATAAATAATTTCAGCTTGTTTGTTATTGCACATAGCACATGTTGAAATTGAGAGGTTGTAATGAGATTGAGATATAACTTTGATTGGAAAATTATTAGAAATGTTGACACATCTTGAGATAAATGAAACAGTAGGGTCTGAGGATAAAGGTAGAGGTTAATGAAAGCAGGCAAAACTATATTTGGAGGAAGATGTGTGCATTTTGGGGGAAAGAAATAGAAGGAGAAGGTTGAAAGATTACTTCATTCTATTGTAACTGTTTATTATTTATTTATTTATTTATTTATTTATTTATTTATTTATTACTACTTATTATCTCTATAGTTCATTTTGGCACTTATGACTCACAAAGCCTTATGACCTCTCCTATTTATTTATAAATTTTAAAACTGCAAAAGCCATAAAAATTGTCCTTCACACTCCTGTCCCTCAGTCACCCAGTTCCCCTTCCCTAACACAGCCAGTTTTATCAGCTTCTTATATGTCTTTTCAGAGATGTCTGTGTATATGTGTATATTCTTTCCTCCAGTGACTTTGGAGGTCATTCCATATCAGCCAATATATAAAGTGCTTTTTTATGTGTTTGTAGGGCTCTGTAGTATTCCATTGTAAAGATGTACTATACTGTATTTAACTGGTCTCATATTCATAGACATTAATAGACATTTAGGCTGCTTCCAGTCTTTTGGTATTACAAATAGTGCCAGAGTAAATAACCTCGTACATACATTCTATCACAAACATGTAAGTATATCTTAGAATATATTTCTGAAAGGCTATAGTATTTATAAACTTGATGGACATTACCAAATGGCCTTTCACAAAATATGTACCAATTTACACTCTCACCAACAAGTGTGAGATCTGTTTCTCTATCCTATTCCCCCAAATAGTGAATTTAATCTCTGTCAATGTGATAGGTAAAAGAGGTTTAATTAACTTTTTCTTATTATTAGTGATCTTAATATATGTTTAATATATCTTAATATATGTTTAAAGACAATTCATACTTCTTTTTCTGTGAACTATCCATATTTTTGCCCATTTTTTTCATTGAATTGTCTTTTTCT